AGGAAGTAGGTGAAGAAAAGGAAAAACTGGGCATAAGCAGAGTACATTTTGTCAGAGCATCTGTATCTTATATTTCCTGCTAGCACAATCTGTTTCTGGAGAACATATCTGTGTATTAATGTCTGTGTCCTCTGTTTCTAGCAACACTATGCTTTCACGAGGAGTTACAGTGTTTGCAAGGATTCAGTGATGTAACAGAAACTAAGCCACAAGCAGAGGAGAAGAGGGCGATGTCAGACTGTGACATCACCCAAACGGAAAAGACGTCTTAAGCTCAGAGCCACTGCTGTGTTTATTCGGAAGAATAAGAGCTACCAGGCAGAAAGATGGGAGGGTAAAGAATTGGAATGGCAATAAAATATATTTAGTAAAAATAGAAAGAGAGAACAAGAAACTCCACCTCATCTATTCCCATTTTCTGCTTCCTTACTACCAGGTAATGAGATGTAATTAATTGGGCATAAATGAAGGACAAGGACATTGGTGGTGAAAAAGGCTTCAGTAGATGAGCCTTGGTTTGCTTTGTACATTCTGCTCTGTGCAAATATGTGCATGTGGTTTTAATAAGTCCACAATCAATATTGTGCTACGTCAATTATGAAACGGGCTGCAGCTGGGATGGAATCCACTAGTTATTCTGAAAATTCCTGCTTTGCTCAAACACTGTGATGTTCAAGTATTTAACTCCAATACTGCTGGAATGTCCTGAAGAGGACAGTTGGATTTTTATTCATAACAATGACCTCTCCCTTGAGAAAAATGGGTATGGGAAACCACTGCCCTGGGATCTGCCTTGGTCATCTGTACAGATACTGTATTTGCTGTAGATGTGAAACCAAAGAAGGTTGAAATAGGTTATCGGTGGTTGAAGACCTAGTTACTTCTCATATCCCATCTTTGCACCACAGCTGCTACCATTCCCCTCCCATTGCTTGGAGGCAATCCTTAGGCATCTGCCAGTGGAATATGCAGCTGGATCCAAAAGTGGTGGGGCCAACTCTTTCCCCCCTTTTTCTTCTGCCATGCCATCTCTCCTTGCCAATGATTTCCTCTTCTGGTCTTTCTGCTCCTCTATTTCTTTCAGTTCATTTGTGGGAATTTGTTAGTCCTTATGGAGCAATGGGGGGAAGTCATCTCCTCTCTCTTGTTCGTTCTTAAAATGTTCACCTGAACATAGAAGGTCATCTGATCAGTGATCATTCCAGGGCAAAATGAACATGGAGGTGAACTCTTGCATTACTCCAAGCATGCATAAGGTGTAATAAACATCAAAGTAAGGAATACTTGGGCACCAAAACGATGAGTTGACTGTCCCTTTCCTTCTCCCAAATTCTGCTCAGAATTCAGATTTCCTGCTACTTGTAAATGAGTCTGTTTTGACTCATTTTTCCCAAATGGGGGCAACATTAAAGTGGGTTTACCTCTTTGGAGAAGGCTGTAATGCAGGGAAAGGTGGAAAGAAAGAGAAGAAGGGGACCACCAGCAACAAGGTGGATGGATTTAGTTAACACTGGCAATGGGTGTACCCTGGAAGATCTGAAGGACCAGGTTAGGGACAGATTGTCATGGAGAAAATCTACGTGGCTGCTAAAAGTCAAGATTGACTTGATGGCACATAATCAATTAATTCAACAGTGCACATTTCCATTTGCTTCCCATTTCTCCCCTTTTTGCCAGAAATCAGTTCAAATTGCATCCAGATGGCTTCCCTCCCTCTTCTGTTCTACCTTTGGCTCCCCACCATTATTTATTTTAATTTCACAAGTGTATAAAAATCAGTGAAGATTGCAGCCTATGCTGTGTTACATGCCTCATGTTACAGGTCTATCCTTCTTTGGACATGTAAATCTCAATGAATTTCAATCTGCATTACTATTCCTCAACTTATTGCTCTGATAACACTTATTGTAATATAAGTGTTTAAAAACCACAGCAGATGGTGACTGCGAAAAAAGGTAAGTGCGATTGAAATTGGCTTGTAGTTGGATGGGAGATCACCAGGAAATTTCAGAATCTCAGGCTCGATTGGGAAGTTGAAAAAATATCCTGGAAGTCATTTTTTTTCAAGATAAACCATGACCAACATAATAAGTAGTAACCATTGACGTAACAGTCCCCCACTATTTTTCTACACCAGCAGCCACTGATAAATCTTATGTTCTATAAATTCACTTAATTCTCTTTTAAGTTAAATTAAATTAAACTAAATTAAATTAAATTAAATTAAATTAAATTAAATTAAATTAAATGAGTAGCTTTCCCACATCTTTTGGCAGTGAATCTCACAGTTTAAACTTCACTGATAATCTTCATTTAAATTGCAATTTAATAAAAAGAGCAATGAAATACCATCATAACAATTCAAACCCTGCCAAACCAGTGTACAAAAGTGGAACTTCTCTCTACACTGAAAAATAATGGCACAATTATGACTGTGGCATCTGAGCATCCAATCAGAACAATAAGAAATTTTTCAAGAAGTTCTACACAATCCATTTCAGTTGCCGATACTGAGGACTTCTCAGCCAGATTTCCAGAAAGCTGAAGGAGAGGAAAGTTCAGAAAATGCAGACTTTTGCTTCTCTTTCAGCTCCTGCTGTAAAGAGTTGGCAGTAGTACAGAAAGTCAAGAAGTGAAGTAAGGCATTGGTAATTTGAGAAAAGAGAAGGCGGCAGGAAAGGAAAACAAAGGACAAAGTAGGAAATGCTGGTTCTTTTAGACAAAAGCTCTGAGATCCTTCAGGAGCAGTTTGATTAAGACCTCAAAGACATCGTCTTTCTCTCCCTACTGACAGAAGCTGAGCTAAGCTGGAGAAAACTCAGCCAAACCTAGGCAAGTAATCAAATGTTCTGAAATAGAGACACTAAGGAAATTCAAGATGTTTGCATGTGGAGGGGAAAATTAGAAATGCGCATCTTTGACAACTGCAGGCCCTTTTAAAATGCTTTCTGTGGTTAGCATATCTCAAAGACTCCACATTGTAAACCACAGGTAAAGAGACTTAGTTATGGATAGGCAGCACAAATTTCAAGTTGAGAAGCTTAGATCACAGTGGGTCTGCAAGCCAGAATCAGGGACCATGTCTGATAATGCGTGAACAAACCAGATATAGTATTTAGTAAAATTCCATGAGGTATCTGAAATGGCAAACCAGCTATGCCCACCAGTTTCCACCCTCTGAAGTTGCTAAGCTATAAAAAGAAAAGTGTTACACGAACTAAAATATTTGGAGAAGGAGATGAAGTAGAATGACCAATCTGACTGCAGAGAAGAACGCACACATGTAAGCAAGCTGAAGAGACAAGGAAGCCATTTCTGAAATCAGACAAGGATTGGCCACCAGAGTTAAAAAAGATAACCGCAATCCTGCAAGACGTATCTGACCCAGCAGCCTAATGGTCAATGAAAAGACAACTGAGATGGAATATGGCTGGTAAAGGAGGAATGCTAGATAGGCATCTGGTTAGAAGGCCTTCCAATCTGTAAATACAACTATTATCTACAAAGCATTCCTGTCTTCCCCAATCCCAGTTGTAAAACTTGGCCAGTGTGTAGCAGCCCCAGGGATGATGTGTGAGTAAATGTGAGTATGTGTATAAAGCTTAAGTCATCATAAAGAATAATTCTTTTTTAAAGTAATAATTGTTTTGTAGGCTTAAAAAGACTCTTTATGTGCTGTGTGATCCCTTGAGCATTTTATTCCTGCATAAGATACCAAAGTTCAAATCTGTAACAAAAGAAGGGCTAAAAAAAGAAAATTAGAAAGAGCTACTGCTTGCCTGTTGAACAAAAGCTAAATTGTAATTATAAGACTCATAGAATGGTAGCATGGGAAAGGACAGCAAGAAACATCTAGTCCAACCCCTACAGCAGGGTTCCTCAACCTCAGCAACTTTAAGATGGGTAGACTTTCAACTCCCAGAATTCCCCAGCCAGTATGGGGAGTTGAAGTCCACCCATCTTAAAGTTGCTGAGGTTGAGGAACCCTGTCCTACAGCATGCAGGAAAACAAGTTCTACCAGATTTGGGAGGCAGCGATCCAGCTTCTTCTTAAAAACCTCCAGAGATGGAAACCAACAGCTTCCCTAGACAGATGTTTCCACTGTAGTACAGAACTTACCATCAAGAAGTTTTTCCTTATATTTAAATGAAATCTAGGTAGTTGAAACCTCTATCTATTATTTCTGGTCCTGGCTTCTGTGGTCATGGAAAATAATTCCTGACATCCTTCCTGTGGAACCTTTTTGTATACCTGAACACTGATGATCATGTCGCTCCTTAATCTTTTCTCCAGACCCAACATCCCAAGTTTCTTCATTTGTCCATATAATCACCATACAATCTTCACGGCCCTCCTCTGAACCCTCTCTAATCTGTCTATATCCTTATGGAAATGTCCAAGAATTCTGCACAGTACTTCAGATATGCTCTCACCATTGCTGAGAAGAGATGAATTGTGACTTCACATGTCTTTGATACAATACTTCTTTTAATGCAGCCCAGAATTGTGTTAGCTCTTCTAATAGCTCTCTTATACTGCTGGCTCTTGTTCAGCTTGTGGTCAGTGACCACACCCAAGTCCTTCACAGAGCAAATGTTTCCAAGCTGTGACTCCCTCATTTTGTATGGATATCCTACAGTTTTTCTCCCTAAATGTAATTCCTTACATTTTCCCATGTTAAAGGACATCTTGTTATTCCTAGTTAAATCTTCCGATACTCTTTCTGAGCTATTTTCAAAGGAGGAAGACTGATTTCATGCAAACAGTCCCATTTCAGCTTAGCACTTGGTGAGAAAAATGTTTATAAATAGTGTCAATATTTTCAAAAATTACAAAATAATAGTGACTTTTCTCATCAACGTTGCTGGATGGTTGCATATGGGAACAAGTTTCCAAACCCTTAGAGACACTGAAATTTTACAACCAGGTTTTAAGTGGAGAAGCAGCCCCCTACTCCAAAGGAATCACCCTATGGTCCATGGCATTAAAATGACTGTACCTTTACTCTGGGGAGGATTCTGGCTCCGATCTCGGAGAACGTTGATCTGGTAAACAGCTCCGTAAGGCTCAAAAAGTTCTTTCAATTCTTTTTCTGACCACGAGCGGGGGATCTGCCCGACAAACATCTTAATGGCATCAGGGTCTGGTTGGTCTGAATGATCCAAAGCGCCATTCATTTTGTTAGCTGTGCCGTTACTGGAAAGCACAAGAGAGAAAGGGGGAAAGAATGTGGTTAGAAAGTGCATTTTTGGAAGGTGTGTTTCAAGGGCAACAAACAAAGAGAAGGAAAAAACAGTGGACATGACTAACCCTTCTAGGTGAAGTACTATGATCAACAACAACAATAATCCCAAAACATCTGGAGCACCACTTGAACACCACCGGCATTGACAAAATCACCATCAGTCAACTGCAGAAGGCAGCTTTACTTCGAACAGCTCACATCCTGAGACGATACCTTAATACCATCAAACAGCAACGTCTGCCTATCCCAGGTCCTTGGGAAGGACTCAACAGGTGGATAAAAATGTCAGATCCAGTCTAAACAATGGGCTGACTGTGCGACTAACAATAAAATAATAATAATAAAATAATAGCAGCAACAACAACATGACCACGATGGACTTACGATGTCACTTCCCATTTGGTTGTTAAGTGAGTAACTGTGGTCATTAAGCAAAACATCACATGATCATGTCTTGCAATTTTACTGCTGGCTTCTCCATTTTACTGCTGGCTTCTCCACTGATTCTGCTTGTTGGAAACCGGCTGTAAAGTGTGCCAATGGCGAACACATGACCGCAGGACAGTGAGATGGTCATAAATGCAAGGACTGGTCATAAAGTTACTTTTTCAGTGCTGCTGTAACTTTCAACAGTTGATAAACAGGGCAGTCATTAAGCAAGGTTTACCTGTATTTAAGATCAGCCCGACAACATTCTCTTATTACATTATAGTTTAGGCAAAAATACCAAATATCTGTGTCCCACAAAATCTTCAAACTCAAAGAGGCCAGCAGCCATTAGTGTCAAAGCAAATTAATTGGTAGTTGGTATTACAACTAAAATTAGTTCACAGCTAAGATATACAGATTAGTTTCTTTTTCCCTCTCTCTCCTTGCATATAGCCATCTATCTAACCTACCCACTTATTTATTTTTATTTCTTAAAATTCTGTTATAGTGCAAAACTTGAATTTGTTCCTTCTCTATTCAAAGTTATATTTTATGCACCTTTAGGGAGCTCTGTGTGCTATCTGTCATTGCTCATCGCTTGGAATTGAAAGAGCTAAATTCCCAAGGATTGGGAATAAACCTTCACTGAAGTGGAAACAAAGTTCTCATACTGGACTTTCTGTGGACCAATGAAGGTTCTTCTCCATAGCAGACCATGTTGAAATCAAAGCAGAGATATCAGGTGGAGTTACTGTCCTAACACTGTAGGATCCAGTCAACCAAGCAAATGTATCCTAGGAGCTACTGGGCTAGAAGCAATAACATTCAACTCTGTGTGTGAGTAGCCTATGTACTGGATTTTCCAAGTTATGGCTTGGGCCTTCATCATCCTATAACAAAGTATTCTTAGACATAAGGTAATCTTTGCCTTCTTTCCCCGAGGATGTGAACAGAACTCTTTTGTAACTTGAAACTTGCCTGGATAGCGATTTTATGACCCTAGGAGATCTCATTCTCTCTAATAAGGAGAACATTATGCATTTCCCTGAATGTTGTAATGCAGTTCTTGGCTCAACAACTGCACCCAAAGAATGTATTTATGTTGTGTACTAAAATGCACGTGCTGGGGGAAATGGTGAAATAGGCATCTCTGTGTTACAGAGAATTGTATGTAAAAATAAGCACGCATCCCTTTCATTTTTTAAAAACCTGCAATGGATGCAGAAAGGAACTCATACAGTTTTATGGTTGGATTCTCATGGAAACTGATGCGGAAAGAGATGAAAATGCTCACCCTGTTTGCTAGCTTTCATTGCTGGCTCTGTTTCAAGGCTCGAGCAAAACATCCAGTTTCCATTAGAGGGTATGTGTAGAAAGAGAGAGAGAGACATGAGATGAAATGAGATGAAATGGAAAGTATCAGAAGGAGCAAAACAACACATGAACCTGTGAGATGGAGGGAGCAGAGTGTTAAAAGCAGGCAAGAGGATGGGTGTACCATGTGCAGGCTACCTCTAGCTAAAGTTAATGACAATGCTGCCATTTTATTAATGGTTCCAGAATGGATAAGTGGTCAGAGAAATGGAGTGGTGGGGAGCTTCCAAAGAAAAGAGCATTTGATACAAAGAGCAATGGAGAACCAACACAGGCTCACAGAGAGCGAGAAAGTGCAGTTGTTGGACATGGGGGTGGTGGTGGTGGTAATGCATCAACAGAGTTGCCTATTCCAGTTTTAGCAGATCTTTTTTTAAAAGATAAAAACCCTCCATTTAATTTTCCTCTTGCCGAATGGGATAGAGATGAGATCGTCCCCCCTTTGTATGAACCTGTCATTTAATGCAAGAAAAACAAAAGGGGATCATCCAAGACAAAACAGGAAGAGAGAAGTTCAAGCTATTAGGCTAATGTTTGAAAACTCCCAAGAACTTAAATTGAGGAATTCAACCCCGGGACTGCTACACAAACACATAGGGCAGTGAGATTTCAGAGATCGGGAGGTTTTTCTAGTAAGGTCTGAAAATGTGTCACCCAAACCAAAATACAGATACAGAATCAAAAGGGGCTGAAAGATTTCAATGTAAAGTCCAGGAGAAATAGTTAGCTCAATTATTATTGAACAGTTGAGGAAGCTATGCCATTTTGATGTCAAAGAGATGGCTCCAGGATGGGTGAACTGGTCTTTTTCCAGTTGGCACGATATTTTGCATCTTTCTTTGAGAAACAAACAAGCAAACAGATCCATTCCATTCTCAACAGAACCTGCATTATTTCAAAAAGAAAAAAAAAATATCCAGGTTTGAAGTCACAGCCTGAGAGAGGTTTAGAGGTTGGTTGGAAAATGATTGGCCAATGGCACCTTTTTTGGTGACCTGAAAAAGGAACTGCCATCCTGCTGGTTCAAGAAAGGCTGTGAATAAAAGTCTTCACCTTAACAAGCTGAGAGATAAATTGGGTTCTAAAGTGAAAGTAACCTGGTTGCTGTGATTCCTGAAAGATTATTTCATTCCTGGCCTTTCAATAACTCTGGTTTAAAAAGACTCTGGGAAAATCTTGCTTTTGGTTCAAGCCTGCTAACTGGGAAATGGCTGTCTGGGGAATTCTGGGAGCTGACGTCCATGCATCTTAAAGTTCTCAAGGTTGAGAAACAATGGTCTATATTGACTTCCCCAGTATATGGAGAGCAGAGTAGCAGGTATTGCTCAACATTTGGAACCCAGCCTTTTCACCTGAAGATATTTGAAGTTGAACCTGGTTCCTTCTGAATGAAAAGTAACTATCCTTGAGTTATAGTCTCCATCTGAGGAAAGAGATGTTAAGAATAGTGGTAGTATGAGAGATAGCGGGAGAGTTCAACAGCACAAAGAATTGGGTGGAGCTGGAACGGAAGAATTAGATACTGACAACAGTGGGGGTATTGGGAACAGATCTTGAGAAATAAAGCATTGGATTGGATAGAGGAGACCCAGTCGGTATAGTACTAAAAGTATGAGACCAGGAGTGAGGAAATCCAGGTTTAAGTCCACCCTCAGCCATGGAGAGTCCATGGGAGACTTGGGCCAGTCACCTTCTCTCAGCTCAATTTACCTCACAGGTTTGTTGTTTGGGAAGAAAAATGGGATGAGGGAACGCTATCTATGCTGCCTTGTGCTTCTGAATGAAAGGTGGAATATAAAGAAAACGAATAAAAATAAATGCTAAACACTACTTCTCTCCTTTTCCCATTAGAACCTTACATGACATCATACATAATTGTGGGGTGTATGCCTCGTGGGGTTCACACACTGTGCTAAGCTGGAATGGCTTGTTTAGACCAGGTTAGCAACTGTGTGAACCCCATAAGGGATTGGTTAAGCCATGGCATAGCTTAGCATGTTGCATGAATCAGACCACCATGGCTTGTTTAACAAACTACAGCTTACAGATCTCCTCTTGAGAACAATGCAGTTGTTTGCAGATGAGGAAAAAAGTGGTTGTGACTTCAGGTCATGTGCATAAGGTTGACAATTGGTCTTCCACTATATTTCAGTTTCAATGGCCTACTTCTATAGCATGTTGTCAATTTCACCTTTATGTCTGTTGCATGACTCTTGTCAATGAAATTAGATTGTGCCTGTCCAATTCTCACTTTTTAAGACTGCTAATGTATGCCTCTTGAAGACTTCTTCCCATTTTTTCTCTATTAGAACCTCCAATTTTTTTAAAAAAAAAGCCATTTGTAAAAAGCAGATTATCGCCATTTCAAGAGAGATCCTGCATCGTCACCATTCCCATCACTTAAAAAAATATTCTCAGTTCTTTTAAAAGAGGGAAGAAAAACCATAAAACATCTGGCATGGAGAATACAGATGATCATTTGTTTATATCTTTCTTTCTCTGTCTAACTGCCTTTTCCAAACACAACCAGATGGAGCCTTTCAAAATCAAATTAATTTCAGATTAATTCACTCTGGACCAATGCCAGTTTCTTGACTCTGAGCTTTTAGGCACTATCTAAATTGATTTACAGTGATGAACTTAAAAGAGCTAAAGTCCTTAGGGGATTTTTTTTTTTTTTTTTTGTTGAGGGGGGTATAAAGTCATGCAAAAAGGAACCTGCAATTATTAACTTGTTTCAACTAAATTCTCACCATTACATCACTTATTCATCCCTTGCAGATGTACTCCATCCTCAAAACCCACAGGATTTCCACTCCATCCTATAATTTTAGAAATGTGATTTTGGGACCTGCTTTTATATCCTTATTGTAGGTACTGTTATAACTCTCTTTGGAATAAAGTGGCAGCCTAAATCTAATTTATTGGGGATTCCTTTCCAGATAAATGGATAGAACAGTTTTTTGTGATCTGGTGCTTTCCTCATGGGCTGGGCCTACAACTCCTAGAATTCCTAATTCTTCATACATTTCTGCAGAAAATCAAGGAAAGAAGAACATTTGGACAGGTTTTGTAATCCCTTCTCCGTAAAGAATTCTGGGAGCCATAATTCTTTGAAGGAAGTTGGAGATCCTTCATGGAGGAATTT